AAAATTTAAAAAAGCAATTAATAGGGACCAGAAAGAAACCTAATTTTTTTTTTTTTTTTTTTTTTTTTTGTCACGCACTTTACTACACTGTAAATGTATACTGAAATTTTAGAGGCATCAAAAATTAATTATTTAAACAATGCAAAGACATTAAATTAATTAAAACCTTATCTCTGTAAAAAATAATAAGTTCACTTTTTCTGAAATTTTGATAACATTGACAGAAATCGATTATACGTATTTAAAACTCCATTGATGATATTTATTTTTTTTCTGATTTAGACGATGGTTTATTTAGTTTTTTATTGGCAACATTGTCTGTACTTAGAAGAAAACGATTTTTGTTTTAAAAAAGGTATATCGCAGTTCTTGTCGAAAATGTGAAGTGTAAATGCTTGGAAATATTGTTTAGATGTTTAAATAAAGATAAAGAATATTAAAAACGGATAAATTTTATTTAATCCTGGTGACTCATTTACATGATAGAAAGGTATATTTTTCTCTATTTTGAAAATATTTAAAATGGATAAAGTGAGTAAACAACGCAAAGTCGTTCGTTGTGCGTTCTCTAGATTGTAAATAAAATTATAGAAGATGTCAGTTCGGAAGAAACTGGCAAAATCTTAGATGTCCATTCTATGTTTTAAATCTTAAAATGCGAAGAACTTCAGAAATTAAATCGTCAGTCTGTGGAGCTCCTAGGTGATGGTAGTAAGGATGAAGCATTCGAAAACGAAAGTCAGTTAGTTGACATTAACATTTTGAAACACTTTTTTAAAAAAGAGATGATAAATCAATTCTAGATCGTGAAAATCAAAGTTCAAATGCCCAAAAATTGAACTTGAGACATATGCTGGAAAATTAAATGGGTGATTATCATTTTGGTCGATGTTCAAGAAAATAGACGAGGGGAAGCGTATAGACCCAGAAGGTAAGCATCCATATTCAGTGTACCGTTCCAAATTCTAGAACTAGAGAGCTCGTTCAAGGTTATAACGCGACTCTTTTCAACTATTCAAAATATTATTTTTTAGTCCAAAGGGGGTTTGTTACTAAAGGACTATTGTTTTCGTTTTACGATTTTGCGTCGGAATCCTATAAACGGCATATCACTTTTCCAAACCTTGTCACCAAATACTGTCGCCCTGTATTATCTTTGAAGAAATTGAATAATGAAGAATTTGCATAAATGTATGTATGTTTCTCGCATTGTGATAAATCAACGGTACCTAGAGCAATGCAGTTTTGAATGACGTAATCCTGCTGCGAATATGGGCATCTGAAAACCTAAATTTGAAATTTGGAATTTGTTTTTATTATCAATTTCATATTTTGTAAACCTTTAACCAATTTTTGATTACGAAAATCAAGCATTTCAAAGCGAGCAATTGCATCGTTGTACAGAAAAAACATTTTTATCTCCAGCGCGTGAGACTGTGTATCGGAAATTCTAAAGATACGCTCATTTTAAAATTATTTTGCGACATTGCTGTTGAACTGAATTTTATGATTTAAGTGCAAAGAACATGATATTTAATAAATAAAGGTAACACACAAAAACGTTAAAAAAACCGCTCCTTTGGACGTAATTAAAAATCTGAAATCTTTCAGATTATATGTTTTTTTTAATCTTATTGATTTAAATAAAAATGAATTTAATCCATGACATATATAGTTAAAACATTACATATTTTAAACATTACAGAAGGTATATAACGTGTTGATGTTCGTCTAAATGCGTATACATCTAATATCTTACAAAATATTTTGCCATACCACATGGGCGATATCCGTCGATAATCGGTATTGACAAAATTAAAAGGGTCGCTCTTTGGCGTTCGTTAAAATCTTAACATTTTGAGATCTTTTTTTTTTTTTTTTTTTTTAATTTCCAGGTAATATGTGAATCTCCGACTCAGTTTCTAATTAAAATTTCTCAAATTTTGCTAAGTAAAAAATGTTAGCTAAATTCAATCAATAATAATAGTATGATATCTGATTGGTCAGTCAGTATGCAGTTTACCACCGTATTATTTCGGTTCTAATATGACGCCAAAAAGACAAAATAAACTGCGAAACTAATACATTCTTTCCTTACATTTTATACATATTTATCTGCTTTTGAGGGTAAAAGGTTTTTATCTGCTAAGAAGAAAATTAATCTTTCGCATAAATGCACAATTATCGCTTTGGGGGGAGAAATAGAGTGTGATATCATAAAATGTTTCAAAATAATTGGAATTAAATTTCTTTAAAAGCCTTCTTTCTTCGATCATTACATTAAAATATTTTGATAATAAATTCAGGTGGAAAGTTTTCTATTATGACAAGCTGTTATCGTCTTTGTATCGGATAATAAAAGTTTATTAAAATACCCTAAAATTCAACAGAGCGTCGCAGGGGACGATCTTAAAAGCTTTTCTAATGAAAACAATTTCGGCATCGTAATTTATGAGGTACACGTTATTCCTTCTTTCGTATAATAATAGTTAAATGCCGCAACAATCCCCAACGACTTGCTCTCTACTGGAAAATTAAACTCTTATCTCTATTTTCTTCCTTTTCTTTGAAAAATCTCTTAAGCTTGCACGCTGCGATGGATTCTTCTAAATATGTGATTTAACTTTTGGAGCATAGTTTACTATCACTTAATGACTTAAAACGTACGAAGGTCATTGTTTGTCAACATATTGTTTGAGGCGATCAGTAAATTAAGCCCTTTTCAAGAAGGAGCAAAAATGAAGTAAAACTAATATGCACTACATTTTATTCCTTCATTTGAAGAATTTCTGATACAAACTAAACTTTTCAAATTTTGTTTTCTATTATTTGCTTGATATTTCATTTTTATAATACCATGCTAAGTTAATTCTAATGAAAGAATAAGTTTGACTTCACATCACTTTTTTCTTCTGTGAACTTATGCAAACCGAAAGCTATCATCGTTAAAGGGATGAAAATCATTTATTGCAAATGTTGTAAATACACTTAAGTATGAATTTAAGTAGATATAATTTATAAAAAGATGTGTGTCCAGGAGCAAATTTATCTTTATCTCTAATTGTTCAATGTAGAATTAAAATAAATGAGTATTATTATTAAGTTCCACAAAAGAAAATGTAAAAACGTTATTGCCTTATACTAAATTAGATAAACAAAAACATTTTTATTCCTGCGTTAAGATACGCGTAAATGTTATGAAAAAATTAAATTAGAAACACACATGCAAAATGATCTTACCATGAAACACCCAGCCGATTCTCCTATTGTGATTGTGTTACTAATTAATATAGTTAATATTTATCACAATTATTATATAAAAATATATCCAAATTAATATATCGAATCTGTTCATATATGGAAATTCTATAACACATTTAAAATATATCTGATGTGGACACCACATGACCTCCTTGTGCGGCCTATTAAATTATACTTATTTTGGATGTACTTCATTTAAACTTATTTCTCGAATTTCATTAGATATATATCTCTTATTCAATAAATTCAGTTCTCCCTTCGAGGAAAGGTAAAAATATGTAACAACACAAAACACCTTCTTTAAAAATTGCAAAATACAGATAAACCTAAAACACAAAATACAGTTAACATTCTTTTCAATTAAAACATTAGTCAGACTGGGCAAAACAACACTGAATTTGGTGCATCAATGACTTAAATCACTATACTACTGAGAATTTAAAATGTAAACATACAGCAGCAACATTAGGCCTAGCGCAACTTTTAAATTGTTGATAATTCTATAAATGTTGCATGCAGATTAAATAAAGGTATACAAATCTTAACTGAAACATAAGAGCAGTATAAGCCATACACTTTTAAAGCAAAAACTGCACAAATTACGAGCATATAGGGGAAACAACCGAGTTCACCGAGCTGTCACGCATATGTATGCGTATATATATATATATTGAATGATCTAAAATTCATTGAATTCATAAACAATCATACATAGTTTTTCTAATACTTGCGCAATAGCTGCAAAGTAAGATAATAATAATTTATTTACTAAATAAATATTCATTATATTATCTCCTAATATAAATTTAGTAAAATGTATCAAAATGAGAACCCATAAGTAGGAAGTTTAATTCTGAATATTGTTTTTCAAAGTAACTTGAGTGTAAATTATGAATAAAACATTTTAAGGAGACTTGAATTTAAATCATGAATAACAAAATTTCTTACTACAGATAATTACTTTGAGTTCTATTTCATAATTCCAGTTAAGATTACTGCTGTTTATTATGTTTAATTTTATAAAAATAGTCTTGAATTAACATGCATAAAAGCGAAGTGTCGGGAAACATTTACTCAAGTATCTTGCAAATTTTACTGCATAAATTGGCTTTTCACTCAAAATTTCTAAAGAATCTTGTATTAGCGGAAATGCTTTATTCAGAATGAGTTCTTTGATACTCAGCCCCATATACAAAATTTCAACTTTCTACGGCTACTTGTTTTTGAGTTATGCAAGATACATATATAGATACTTCCGTTCAAATGTATAGACGTCACAAAAAACTCCCTTCTGAGTTCATTTAAAATTCATTTTTCAGGTTTTTTTTTTTTTTTTTTTTTTTTTTTTTTGAAAAATGTATCATTTATTCTGTACGTACGTATAGATGTCACACACAAAATTTCATTCAGATAGATTGGGGAGCAGTCAAAATGGACATTTTCGTTGAAATACATTACCTGAAATTTTTCGCGTTTACAATAAACCCTATACTTCGCACAAGGATGTAAAAGCATGTAAACTCACGTCATTATAATATGAAACACGCACGTTTTTGAATACATATAACACGTTTATTTTGAAATTTCATGAAACGTTTGCAATCTGTATCAACGCACATTTATTAATAAATGAGATAGCTATAATGAATTTGCATACTTAATTTCATAGCCATTATTAATGCTTTTCTGAAATAGAAAGTTTTTCGTCTCTTTCTGACTTTTTTTTCTTTTGTTTTTAGTACCACCACGATGGGTTTTGGAACCAAATGATATAACGGCGGTCTCTGGGCGTCCAGCAAAAATTAGCTGCCAGGCAGATGGTGTACCACATCCACATATCAGATGGAAAAAAGCTACAGGTATGCATATGTATGTTATATCTATTAAAAATATAAGGGTTTTCAAATATTTTACTTCAAATATGGAAGAATCTTACAAAGGTAAACACTTTAGAAATCTTATTTAGGAAGAATTAAATTTACGTATACTAGGTGAGTCAATAAAGTAACTGGACAATTTCTTACAAGAAAAAGATTGGTAGCATAGATATAAATTTGCTTTATAGGCATTGGAACTAACTGTTCGCACAATACGCATAATATTTGTCTTAATACTCAAGACGTTTTCAAATTCATGTACTTTTATGTCCAGCTTAAATTTCGGAAAAAGAAAAACATCATCTCGCAATAACTCAAGAGCATATCCTGAGTAATTTATCACTGCAATTTAATGCTAAGATACTGTTGTATAAACAATGCTGTAAGGGACCAGCGTTTTCATGTAAAATAAAAAATTACCCAGAATCAAAAAATTCCTTTTTATTCGCCTTATTCTATTTCTTAACCTAAAAGGCAGCTTCTTGTAAAAGTGTTGGTTGATTGATTTAGGGTCAATTCATGGTGGATAAGTCCTTTGTGACAAAAAAATGCAAGTCACCATAGTCTTTGATTTCGACATATGTGCCTTTTTTTTCTCTGTGGGAGAAGACGGTTCTTTGCAGTTTCCACTTTGTCTTTTTGTTTCTGGGTTGTGTTGCAGAATCAAGTATTGACTAAAGGGTCTTTTATAACCTTCTCCAGTTTCCACTGTAATTAAGGCTCGGCTGGAAGTCGTTTAAGGCCCACCGAAAAGTTAGTCACATTTACAATAGTACAATATTTTAAAATCTTGCTTTATCTAAGCTTTATTTGCTTATCCTAAGCATATCTGAAAGTTGCTGATTTGTTGCAAATCTATCAGCTTTTAGCGGACAACGAATATACTTTACATTTCTTCACTTGAATTCATTTACATTTCTTCACTTGAAGTTGAAGAAGTTGCTAGCGCGTCGCGCAGCTGTAGCAGACGTCCGGGATTCGATCCCTTGGCTGGACAAGGTTGACTCATTCCTTGAATGGGTCGATAGAATGAGTATCAAGTTCACTTGTGAACTAAACACCGGGGATCCTGCGACAAGCTGGCCACTTTCTTAGGGCATATGCTGATGCACTAAGCGGCTCAAGGTCAAGAAAGCAGATTTCGGGGCACTGCAGGTCGTGGCCCACTAGGACTGTTGCGCCACTGAGTTCAGTTTAGTTTGAAGTTGAAGAACGTCCTGTCTTTGGTTCATCTTTAAAGCATGGTTGTACTACTCATATATTTGTGTTCTTCATAATTATGCATCATCATACACTTTTCTAATCAACTCTGAAGGCTCTGTATCAGATTTACCTAATTTGTAACAAAATGTACTGTTAAGAAGTTATCCCATTCTCGAAACAACTTTTTTGTGCAATGTTTTATAAACTTTAACTTTTTGAACTATCATAAATTGTTATCAAATTTTAGACAAACTGACAGCGAAATCGCTAGTCTAAGATAAAAACTGAAACATGTTTTAATAAAAGGGTGTAAAGACCCTTTTATTAAAATTAAAAAAGAACAGATGGCACACATCTTGATTACAACTAAGCCAACACTTATGGCGAAATAACTTAACTAACACTAAATTCAGAATTAAAATTAGCTATTTGTCAAAGACTAAACAGTCCAATTTTACGCGAAGTTGACTCACAAACTTAACCTGCGTAGATATTTAAATTAGAACCGTCTTTTTTTTTTTTCCGGCGTGTGCATATCCATTAAATTCACAATATTTCATGGAATATTTGTGGAAAGTTTCATAAAATTACTATAGTAATATTACAAATTATTTTTTTATATAACAGAAAACTTGGAAAAATAAAAGTTTTCAAAAAATATGTTTTAATGTGTGCAAACACAAACAGGAGGGAAAGAAAATTTTTGCAAGTATGAAAATTAAATTGCGTAGCTAATCTTATTTCCGATCACTTCACAACAAATTGAAAGGTTCAAAATCTTTTGAACATCATTAAAGGATTTAAATGAAAATTTTTCATTTTAAAGGTATTTAGAGTAGTATGTGTAACTTTGGACATTATCTTCCGAATTCTTTTAAGCATAAACTTCAAGTTCATGGCGTAGAACAAGAATAGCCGTAATTCTACTTCTAATGATCGGATAGACATAATGAAAGTAGTTATGGGAAGCTCAATGTATAAGCTTTAAAATAAAATTTAAAGAAAGTTTTGAAAAATTTGATCAAAATTGACAATAAGAACGCGGTCAGGTACCTTAGCCGAAATGAATAGACTGGATGAAATCTTTTATTACATAACTAAACAGAAAAAGAAGTTCGCAGTTGATAGCTCCAAATGAGCGTTTAAAAAAACTCATGAAATTCCATAATGCCGAAATATATTTATTCGCTTTGCAGATTGTTTAAAACGCAAAGAAATAAAAAAGCAGACTTAAACTATTTTATTAAAGTAACTTCAGAGCTCTAATAAATATTTATTTTTTTAAACTTATACATAATGAATAAAATAGAAAACTTGAGAATAATTTATAACAACTCACACCCACGTTCTGCAGTAAGGGGCTGTTCCATTGATATAAATTTCCTAGAAGATATGAAACGTATTAGAATACTAGTCATGGGTAGCGTTAGAATATTAGTCATGCGTTGAATAATGCCTATTCTCCTATTTCCGTGTGTAGGTTGGGATTATATTATTAATATACATGCAGGATAAGGATGCCACATACTCTATTACTAGAAGGCCAAGAACTGTTGGAGTATTGCAGCTTCATTAAATCCTTACATGCAGATGTGTCGAAGAATCGATTCTATCGTCATATTATGGTAGAGCAATCACATTGTAATGTGTTACAATAGAAAAGCCACCTTTCTCTTGCATAAAAGTATGCTTTCAGCTGTATTTGAATATTCACTGAATAAAATAGGTTACTTTATATATAGGAAGATTGATATTCAAGACTGAAATCAATATTTAATTTTGACTTTCAAATGTGCAGCAGGATGCCTAATCCATGAAAATGGAAAACTTTTGTGCTGTCGAATCTTTAAATTTTTGTGGGAAATTAAGATGTAATTTTATTATGTTTGATTGAAAAACAATTTACTCTTATATTATAATCTTATTATATTTCCATTTTCAAAATCACCAGCTTTTATATTAAGAACGGCTTCATTTTATACTAACTTCAAAATTAAACCTAGTTAAGCTCAAATAATTTTATTTCATGTTCAGTTTTGTATGTGGGGATGTACGTATGTATACATGTGTATATATTACATACATAGATCTATATATCTGTATTTATATTAGCAGAATATTTATCAAGCCTTAGTAAGTTAAGTTAAAAAAAAAATTCTGCATTCTTAGGGCAAATCCAGAAAGCTTCGATTAATAATTTTTAAGGCTAACTAGGGATTTAAAAAGAACTTGTATTTTATGTAATATTGCATAAAATACAACTTCTTTCTTCATTGTTATTTGATATATATATATATATATATATATATATACATATCTCAAATAACAATGAATCCTGTTTATTTTGCGCTACTCCTGAAATTAAGTCGAAAATTTTTGACTTCTCTAATTAAGAAAATCAGAAACGTGATCTAATATTCTAATTGGTATATTCTTTCCAGAACGTTACCAAAAATTTGCATTTAACTTATTTAAGTTAATTCCTTTTAACTTAATCAAGTTCAACGACTACCATACTTCGTGGCATATTTGTACTTCTTTTGTTAGCTAACTTTATCGTCCGAAAACCGATAGTGATAATTGTGCAAGTGATTTCATTTCCGACGTACACGGTTACAGTTACAACATTATAAAGTAGTCATAAATAACCTAGTAGTAAATATCACAATATTTTGCTTCTTTAAAAGAAATCTTCATTTCAATAAAAATACATAATATTATTAACATTACAATAACTGACTGATGTTATAGGACGCTAACTGAGCCGGACAAGTCGCGCAAGTTTCAGTTACCTTATAAAGCCTTAGGGGCACTTCTCAAAAATGAGTCTTGACAGCATTTCCCACCAGAGACATTGGAAGAACGGAGGAGAAGGAGACGAAAAAGAGGACCCGGTTTTCCAAAAAATGAACAAATTAGCAATAGATAAAGCTGAAATGAGCTGGAAAGTAAATAACAGAAGTTATCTGAAATCGCATGTTTAAAATGAAGAATCTGTGTAAAATCCTTATCAAAGAGGTTTACAAGGGAAATAAAAATGGAAAATCAAATACAAATTGAAAACAGTAATATAAAATAAAATGGAATGCAGAAAAGCAAATACAGTTTCAACGGTAATATAAAAATGAAATAGTAAAATAAAAATGCTAATACGATTTTGAATACACCGAATAAAAATAAAAATAATCAAATTAATACAATGTACCAGCAAACTAGTTCTCATAGGAAAAAACTGTGAACAGTGGAGGAAGGGGAAAATTAGGCGAATGTTATCAAAATTTTCAGCGGTAAAAAGATGGGAAGGGAAAATACTCGAGGAACTACGGTAATTTAGTAATGGCAATTTCCATGTTTTAGACTTCAACTCTTATTTTAAAGCTGTAATATTAACTCGACCGAGCAAACGGAAATGAAATTGATTTTAATTTATTTGAGTAGTTACTTAAAAGAGACTAGTTTTTATCACTTAATTTCAATCAGTTTAATGCTAATGTTTTAATGTTTAAATCTCTGCATCTAATTCATTGAGATTTTACTGGATTTTGTACTTGTATACATCTTTCATGTTTCATTTATTTCTTTATCACTTGGATTAATAAATACTCATCAGTATTCTCTCTTAGTTAATTTATAAGAGCTTTTCTCCCTCTTTTCTGCATACCTTCGTGGTGTAATTGGAAGCATACTCGACGCGTATTCGAAAAGTACAGGGTTTGAACCTTGGACAGGGCCTTACATATATTTTGACTTCTCTTGCTTCCAAAAATTCTAATGATTTT